TACAAGCTTGTGTAAGAGCAATCAACTCTGCCTGCGCTGAGACAAAAGGTTAAGAACCTGCAGTTATTACACTATTAGGTATTTGTACAACTGCAAAACCACAAAGGAAAATAAACCAATAACTGATTTCAAAACTCTGACACAAAATCTTGCTCAGCCCAAAATACACAGAACCAACCTACATCAGTACCAGGTCCATCATGTTTAGTGTCCAAATTAAGAGCCATTTCTGTTGGTGAAATATCAGCATATTTAAAAACAACAGACAATAAAAAAACAAAAATCTGCCCCTCCAAACTGTTGATCCATTGTTACTCTTTTTAAATAATTAATAGCCCCTTCTGGAAGCTTAAATGGATCAGGACACTGAGTCCTAAGAGACACCAAATGTGATCCATAGGGAGGCTTAATTTTAACAGTCTCACCAGCAACTACAAAAGGATAGGCAGAAGCAGACACATGACTGGGAACTAGTACACCATGACTCTTATAACCCTCATCCACCACTAAAACACTATCAACATGCTTATTCCCTGCACCAACATCCACAGACTTTCTAGTCACTTTCTCATTTTTTCATACCAACATCAACATTTTCTGCAGTGGATCTCACCATTGCAGAAGGATTCACAACCATCTATCCAACATGCCTTTTCCCTCTACCAATCGCCATAAAATTTTCATCAGTATCAATATTCCGAAAAATCTTTTTTTTAATTCATCCAAACTGGGATATAATGATACAACAAAAAGCACATAAGCAGGAGGTGCTGCAGAAGCCTGAACATACTTTGTAGTCTGATCAGGAACAAACTATAACTGAGCACACTTTAACCATCCTGTAGCTGCATTATGCATATACTTTTTATCCCATTTTGGATCTCCACTTTTTAAAACCTTAAATACACATACCTTTCAGCATTTGCAAATGAAAATCACTAAAAGAACCCTCTCTTGGCCATGGATTACAAATCATTGTATCAAAATTATCTGACCATGCAACTAAATTTGTACAAAATGGCTCAGCATAGTAATTGCCAATAGTTTCTTGAACAAAATAGCATGGGGTTTGGCCTAATCGAGGACCCTGAGACTTGACTTGGGGAGTATGTGACGCAGCACTATTAGGGACATCTTTAGATTATTTAAATTTTACAGAATTTTGTTGGGAATTTTTTTTTTTTTTTTTTACCATTACTGGAGCCCATTTCCAACTTAACACAGATAACACTTTACAATATATAACACTTTATATATAAGCAATGCACACTTTTTTTTAAACAATACAACTATACATGCAGCGCTGCAATAAACAAAAATAAGATTTATTCTACTGTCTCCATCCTGTGCATTCAATACAGTGACTAAATGTGGTCACTCAGTGGGACTGCTATACCCACTGTATACAACTTACCGACAAGATGGGACTCTAACCCAGAAAATATAAATGTTTCTCTTATACAACTTATCATGGGACTCTAACCCAAACTTATCATGGGACTCTAACCCATACTTATCATGGGACTCTAACCCATACTTATCATGGGACTCTAACCCATACTTATCATGGGACTCTAACCCATACTTATAACAAAAACAAAAAGAAAGGCAAAACAAAAACAAGAAAACATTACTTTTCTGCAACCACAAAATTTTGTTCAGAGAATCCAAACAGGGCAAAGAACACAAAAATAAAACACAAAATGTTCTTACCCGATTTGGATTCTCTATCCCACTTCTGACACCATATTGTTGTGGTTTAAATTCAGCAGACAGCAATGTTTTCTCTCAGGTATGAAGACAAGGAATGGACACAGCAGAAATACGAGCTCGGAGGGCAGTACTCATTCACACAAGTGTATGGCAGAATACTACACCTAATTTTAATGGGGATAACACAGATCTTATAACAAAATTCTGTACACATCCAAAAGGGGTTGTCTTCACATAATACAGTCATGTCCTGTCAATTGCATATTAAAAGAACTTAAAGCACATTTGGCATTAGCTGGTCAAAGGGTGTTACTTGATTAAACAAACACTTCCCAACAAGGTGTTATCAGGATATGCAGTGCAGGGGGGGAAATAAGAAGAAGATACAAATCAGGATCAAAGGCCACCTGTTACAATAGAGCATCCTGACATTACTAAATCTACTGTGTAGTGTGACACAGAATATAAGGGGAAAGGTGCTCATTAATCCATATCAGGAACCATAAATGAGAGAGAGGAAAATTACAGCTAAACACTACAAAAGTATCAAAAAAAACGCTGGTCCTTAACGTACAAATATCGCAAAAACAGGCCAGTCCTTAAGGGGTCAAAGAAACAGTTATGAAAAACAATATGTTCCATTTCTAACACCTTGTCAGTTTGCAATATCTCTTAAAGACAAAGTACACAGTTTGAGGAATACAATATTTGTATTTGCCCATAACACAACTTTTCCCTTTTTTTTCTAACCTTTGACTGTCTAGCAAGCTTAACAGGGAGAAAGGCTTTATCTTATCTCTATGCTACTTTTTCTTTCAGCTAGTTTAAAAGTGCTGCTTTGAGACATCATCAAGATATAACAACTTGGTATAAACCCTAAGGCAACTGTCTAATATTTCCATCAGCCTAGCCTCTTAGGGGAGTGAACATTTACTATAGGAACTGAATATCTCCCTCTACCTTGCTGATTACATTCTATTAACCCCTTAGCTTGGCCACTTTGAATAAAGACATTATTATAGGGATTCCAATTGAGTTCATTTTTAGTCTGAGTAAAGCGAATTTGCTTTAGTATTCTCCCTGACTCATCCACTATTCTTGATTCTTCAGATAGATTTACATTGTGTATAGCTTTCTAAAATATCCAGATTATATCCATAACTCTAGGCAGTCTCCTTTTGTTTCTGTTTTGAAGGAGGATATTTTTTATTTCTCTCTGTGAATTATAAAGGGTTAAGCCCCAGACACCACTAGAGTGTGATTCTGGTGACTATATTGAAGTTGAGAGGTTCTGCAGCTGCAGACTATCCCGAGTTTCAATATATCTCTTCATATTTTATTCCCCCTTGTTCCCCTGGTTCGGCACTTTCCATATAATCGAACGCCAGCTCCCTGGCGGCCATTCGGATGGACAAAAACCGCAAATAGACTTCAGGGGGATCGCGAATGCCCTGAAACTATTTTTGGCATAAAGACTTTGCATTTCCTGGTCGGTCCCCCAGCAGCACTTAGCCACGATTCTATGGAACTATTTTTGGCATGAAAACTTTGCGGTTCCCGGTCGGTCACCAGCGGCACTTGGACGTGATTCTATGGAACAGTTTTGGGCATGGGACCATGTGAGCGGTCGGTAAAAACTATAGCTTCCAGGAAACCCCTGAACTAATCTGGCTGACTTTTGGATATGTTGGTCACCCAGATCAGGGCTATCAGGGGATGTAACGTTTGTGGGGATTTTATGGGTTAAGGTTTTTTGGGGGTCTTGTAAAAACTTGTGTTTTTTTGTGTTTGGAGATAATTGAGTTTAGTATAGTTCTTGACTCAATTATCTCCTAAGTAAAGGGGAAGGCTTGTTGTATTGTATATGGGAGTGTCAGGCATTGTAACACTGGTATTATTGGTCTGTGACTTTGTAACGGAGTTCCCCACAAGGTCCATGTGGCAGTGCCCTTTGCATTGGCATTGTCATAAAAGGCCAAGTGTGGCACCATTAAAATCAGTTCCTCTTCCCCCTCAACATGGAGCCTCGTCTCATGTGTGGAGGGGACAGCTATATTCAGTCTGGGGATTGTTATATCACAATACTCCCCTGGGTATAATCACTAGCTCTTATAAGAGCTGTTCCTGCTACGCTCTCTGGAGTTGGAGAGGTTCACCCACTGGAATCTGGATCCTGGCCTTGGGTCCAGGGTGGGTGGAGGATGGCGAGACCCCAACCAAGCTGTGGCGGTTTGGGGATCTATGGTGCTGATGGTGTCTGGTGGAGTGCTAGGAGCATTGATTGATGGAGGTACGTCACACCAGCGACAAGAAGATCTGTCACAGCAGTTAAGCATTTTGTTATACCTTATTTATCTATATATTTATGTGTCATTACACTGTTATGGAAATGTTTACTATATGGGTCATTGCCTTTTATTTATGACAGCAATGTATGGTGATGTATGGGTGGAGGGGAGGTGCAATGACTTTACATGTTCAGTTGATATTTTATAAAGGTTATTGTTATATGTTTGATGTCTTCAATAAAGCTTTGGACATATTGACCAATACCTTTCAGTGTCTGCATTTTAATGGTAACAGGGGTGGGGATGGGGTTTTGGGGAATCTCCACCTGCCCCTATGGCAACTATACACCAGTCAAGCCATATAGCTGCAGTTATAATACACTATGTGGGGGGAGACAGGGGACCTCTTTACACCATAACCTTATAGCTCTCCTCAGGCTGCGCCCGGGCGGTGCGGTCCGCCCTCATGGAAGCACCGCCCGGGCAAAGCTGCAGCCGCCTGAGGCTCTGTACAGAGCGCTCGGGCGGCGGGGCTGGCCATGGCACCCCCCACCCGGCTGGCACCCGGGGCGGACCGCCCCCCCCCGCCCCCTCCCTAGTACGCCACTGGATATAATATTTATTATTTTATACCCCCGGCTTGGCCTGTTAGTGGTTTTGGGGAAGTACAATGTCATTGGTTTATTGTGATTAGTGCCAGTGAGAAGGAGGATTGTCATGGCACTGGGAAAATATGGGACCTGGCTCACCAGCGCGCTAGTGCAATAAAATCTGTATCTCCGTACCGATGAGGCACTCCAATAAGCAGTCTGTGTTTTTAAACATTTTATCACCAGCAATATAGTGGATGATAGTGCCATAAATTCCCCATCATGCAATGCAATCAATAAGGATATCTACAGTTTAAGAGTCCAACCTTTCCTCAGACTACTAAAGTCCACAGACGTCTCGTCATACACATATCTCGTGGATATTCCAATATTCCATTTGTTTTCCACAATGCACACTCTGCTAATTCTAGCTTGTCTACTTACATTTCTACTAGAAGGTAAGTTGAGTTATTTATTGATTTTTATTTTCTTTTAGCTAGATACATTATCAAATGAACACCTTCACTTTTGAATGAATTGATTTAAAAAAGGCAAATAAAATTTAACGTTTGTTTGAAAACGATTGAAAGTTGGATAAAACAGCAACTTTGAATTAGAATTTTTTTTAAATAGTATTTATTAATTTCAAGCACCTTAGACAGTGCCCTGAAATACAATGATCCTAAACATGAAATACAGATGTTACTCACTAAACAGTGAACTGCTGTAAGTTGAAGATGAGTGTTAACATTAACCGACTTTTGGCTTAAACAATAAATAGGAGAACATTGATTTGAAGCACAGAATGCATAGCCAGCATTTTTGTCTATAGATTTTTTTCAGACAATCTAAAGGGACACTTCACAAATCTAAAACAACTTTATTTTATTTCCAATGAAAACATAATTTTTTTATTTGCCTTTATTTATGCAAGTTTGCAATAGGGGTTGTGACAAACCATCCTTATTTTGTTGACTTTCCCCACATGTTGTCACCCAAAAGACTATTCTCACTAACCCTGGCTCCCTGCACCTTCCCCTCAAGGCCAACTACCTAACAGCGCCCTTTTCCCTGACTGTTACTGGTGTCCAGTGAAATATATTTATTTAACTTTAAATATTTGATGTTTTGTAGGATTGTTTTGTGATATGAATATTATAAGTTTTATTCAAATTACTTCCAGAACACTTAGTGCCCTTAACTAGGATTATACTAGTAACAGACTTTCATTTTACCACATATGGTTCACTTTAAGAATGATGGATGAAGGCCTGTTGATAGTAACCTTTGACCTAGCTTTGCAAGCCAGTCTCTCTCTGGATTACCAAGGCTCAGATATCTAAAGTCATTTATTCAGTTAACCAGGTATATAGAACGTTTGTGTAACTTCTATTTTACCACCTAAAATATAATGTATGGCTTTAACCCCTTAAGGACACATGACATGTGTGACATGTCATAATTCCCTTTTATTCCAGAAGTTTGGTTCTTAAGAGGTTAATTATAGATTTCAAATGATGCTAAGTCACTCCCCTCTTTCTAAGATAGCCACTTATTTTAAAGTAAGCCAACCTTATGTATACGCCCCTATATAACTGAATTTTAAACCTATAAAAACGATTGAAGCTAAGATTTTTTTTTTTTACCAATACCTTTAACATCAAAAATGGATACCATCTTGAACATTGCTCTGTATTGGACCTCAAAGAGGTTTGCATTGACGTAGGTTGTTTTTCGGATTTTGTGTATGTTTGAATAAATATACATTTTTGGCTGCAAGACACTCTGATTCGATTACAAAGAAAAAGAAAAAAAAGTTACCTGCGCTCTTTCCCAAATCCCTATGTATCTTTAAACGAATGGAGATTTTTAGTTACCTCTAATGGCCATGAGAGGGTATGCCCATGTTTGCTGATGACATACTTATGACATTAACAAATCCTGAGCCCTCTATACCATCTACATTACAAAGTATAGAAGAATATAGTAGATTTTCTTATTATACAATGACATAAGACACCTTAAATGCATCGGCATAAAAAAATGTATAATACCATGGAGAGGTGGTAACATTAAGAACATATTAGGTAAAGCTGAGATGGAATGGGTTTTTAATCTCAAAACTCTTACCCCATCTGGTTTAAATGTTGATTTTGACCTGTTTAATTTTATTTAAATTCCTATATACAACCCTTATCTACATGCTTTTATTCTTTATGTCTGGACCTAACCAACCCTCATAATAATAATCTTTTAAGTTTTAATTTTTCATCTATGCCTTTCCATTTATGTATCTTGTATTCTGTGTTATCTTTTATTTAATTTTATTTTTATTTTTATTTATCTATTATTTTCATTTAACATCTGTAATATATTATTACTCTGGGGTATAATATAACCCCTATTTAAATCATTATGTTTGGGATTATATTACCCCCTTTTCATGCATACTCCATTTACATATATCTCTGTATCTCTGTACCTTTAAACCATCTACTTATTTTTTTTATTTTTTTTTAATGAACTTTAATCAAACAACTTTTTTTTTTTTTTAACTTTAATCAAACAACTTTTTTTTCTTTCTTTCTCTTTAAAAAACAACTTTCTCACCCTCGTTTTCACATTTAAATAATTTAAATGGACTCATCACCTTTATAACATCACTCCCATACTCTTGAATCCTAATTTTGAAAAGTGATTTTAAAAATTGTCTCTGATTGGCCAATTACACTTTTGGCGCAATTTTCAAATTAACATAGCCCTATTTAAACAACCCCTGCCAGGTTACTACTTTTATCCCATTCTGAAGAAGCCACTTATGGCGAAACGCGTTTATGGTTATTAATTCTGTATTTTACTGTGTATTTTAGATCAATAAAAGTTTTTTGGCTACTTTATTGTACCAATCCTCTTTTTATTGCACTCTTTATGCACTTTAAACAACTTTTTTTTACCTATTCCTGGCATTTTAACCTTTCCTGGTTACTTTTACTTCCACTGGCAATTTTAAAGTTCCAGTACTCCAAGAAATCCTAGGTGGGGATCATACCACCAGCGCCTATCCATAGAACAGTACCTCTGCTCTATCTTTGTGAGTATTATTTTATTTTCTCTACTACTCTCTTAACCTATCACAATTGAGAGCACTATTGCTGCTTTTTATTCTTCTATATTGGAGCCTTGGATCACCAGACGGTGCTGACGGACGTATCGCCGCTACATATCCTATAAGCGGGTATAATACCGCTGTACACTATCCACACCAGAGCTGGCCATAGCTCCCTCAAATGTGAGTTTTTTACCTCTTCTTATCTGCACATTGAACCACATCAAAATTGAGAGCACTATTGTTGCTTTCTGTCTTTCTTTTCCGAGTTCTGGACTACCAGACGGTGTTGACGGAGACCCCCTCCCTACATATCCCATAAGCGGGGATTATACCGCTGTACGCAATCCACACCAGAGCTGGCCATAGCTCTCTTGAATGTGAGTTCTTTACTTTTTGTTACCTATCACACCCTGAACTTTCATACTATACCATTAGTCGCCTCTACCTCTCTTGTATTTACATATACGGAACGGTCTACACCAGACGCATCCACAGAGGAACTCTATCAAGTATCCTAGACCATCTATTGGCACCCTAGCTATACTTTACTGGACTATCTACCCTTATTTGGCGCAGCCCTTCCATATCTTTTTGTTTCTTATTATAAGCTCAATATGAAAAAAGACAAGCTCTACACTGTAATCTTTCAAGTTTACAAATAAGAAATTTGAATAATAACCATAAACCTAATTGGTCTAGTTCTTTATGTTATCTGGGAATAAATATCAATTTTAATATTGAAGAGTGGACCTGTGATAATTACAACCTTCTTCTTAAAGAGTTTAGAAATACAATCGTAAAACAGTTTGTAATGGATCACCTGGCACCCCGACTGGTTACCTCAGTTGACGGATGCTTCCTAGCTGACGCAGAGGACCATAAGCACTGCACCAGACACAACAACCATGTCAGGGTGGCAGTCCGTAGACCGGGACCCCTGTGCCTGATGTGGAAATGAGCGGAGTCTTTAGCGTGGAAGTGGATATGTAGGGCCTGGAGCAGGGTAACCGCACGCCCCCTGGTGTTGAGCACCAGCGTTTGTGCGGCCACAAACCAAGACCCTGATGCAGCTTAGTGGAAGCCAGAGCAGACATATGCTGAGATGTATCCAGTACTAGAAACAAGATAAGACTAGGATAGACACCAAACAAGAAAACAAGACAAAACTAGTAGAACCCAGAACCAGAGAAGGATAGAAAGCTAAACCCAGAACATGTACACAATACATATGGGAAACATAAACTAAACAGGAGCAGGACAGGACTGTACATGGACTGGGATTACAAATAAAACAAGACAAGATATAATAGGCAAAACAAGGAGACATAACTAAGCACTATATGTGAAAAGTATGGGGATTTAGTTACATTATATGATCATACATTGCATAAGCCTGCCACAACGCCAATGTACCCTATATCTGGCAGGTCCTACACTGCCTAATGTTCGTTAAAAGAACCATACTAAACCACAATAGCACTTACCTGCAAGAAAGGGCAGAGACTTGAAAACAAACGGGTGCGGCAACATAAAACAAACATTTAAATGAGACTGGGAAATCCAGGGACGGAATATAAGAATGAACCCTGAAACCTAGTATAAAGAAAACCAGACATAGAATAGAAAACCAAAAAAACAAATTAGGTCTTTCAGCCTTTTGGTAGATAGCTCCCTAATACCGTGGGAATTAGGGAGTTATCTATTTACTCATTCCCATCCATTGACTGTAATAGAAGTGTTACTTTATTGTTGTAAGTTTTGCAAATGCTTACAGTTGAATCCAGGCTATGCTTGTATACTTTTTATTTAAACTGATATACAGTGTAACATTCTTCCACTGGGTATATTAGTACTTTCGCAACTCTGTGGTTCAGAACGTCGACAACTTTGGAACTTCGGCAATTCGGCTATTCAGACATTCGGAAGTATTCGAATATCCGAATTGCCCGAAATTCGTCTGAACTGACATTTGGAACGAAACGAATTGCACATGTCTAGCGCCAACTGGAAGTAAAGACATAAAGAAGGCTTGGAACACAGAACAGAAACCGAAGAATAGGAAACAGCTGGGAACACCATCCTCCCTGGTGGCTCTCCTGAACAGGGAGAAGGCAGTTTAGACAAACACACAGAGTAGACTACAAGAGCAAGATAGGGATAATACACAAAAAGGGAGGGAGAACCCCTGCAAAGACAGTACACACACAATTGGGTTGCCAGGGGGATTTACAGTTTAGCGGCAGTCCCGCTACAGTAATGACATCTACTGTGTTCATATTTTTCCTTAAATAATCTAAGATTTATGCTGTTTATCCTTTGGATTTTCAAGACGATTTAATAAAGGTTACATTTTAGATTATTGGGCTGTTTTGTTACTTGCCATCTTTAAATGATTTTGAATGTGGTTTGAATAATTTTGATTACAACTATATATTATAAATGCATTGTTTACGATTATGTAACATACTAGATTTAATATAATATACGTCTTAAGATCTTATGCTTGATGGTCCTCCATCTTTTTAACATAACTTTGTTGTAGATGAAAATTAGGAAGACAGGTTTTTAATTAATTCCTTCCCTTTTTTTCACTTTCAATTTTCTTTCTCAGTGTCCTCATTGACATGTTATCAATGTGAGAGTAGCAGTGGATTGCCTTGCACTGGTTATCTTGCAACATGTGTGTCCTCTGCAAAAAGGTGTATATCGATTTATGAAGAGACATTTGGTAAGTAACATGGACTGAATTCTTGATTTAGTATAGGCCTGTCAGCTGTATGAGCTGCTAACAAGCACATAATAAAAAATAAAAAAATCAATCATGGGCTCCCAGGACCATATGCTCATCACCATCAGTGGGATGGTCCCCACTGCATCATGCATCCAAATGCTCCACTTTCACTGTGTCATTAAATCAGTCTCCTGGACCCCTGAAAACAGGAAAGGCTAGTGGTGTATCTTCTGTAAAATGAACCAAAGTATGGTTTAGGGTGTTAATGATATGAACCCCAGGAGCAGCCTCTCCTCCAGGTGTATCATCCAGAAGTGTCACAATTGAGTCTGGGGTCCAGTCACCGACTATATCTTCCTCAAGATGCTGATCTCACTAAGGGAATCTCTGGGAAGTGAGGCTAAAGAGGAGGTAGTTGGTACCTGTAGTGGTTTGTGACAAAATTACTAAAATCTGTCCTAAAAACACCATGGGAAAAGCTTCTTCAATACAAAGGACATAAAACACACAAAGGATCCCATTGGTATTTACTTATAACCCAACTCTAGAGGAGGTACATCAAATTATTAAAGACCTACAGTCATTAATCTCAGAGGACCCTACAATCAAATAAATATTTAATGAGCAACTAACAACTAACCTTAGACAAACTAACCCCAGAACAGAGCTCACACATGTGTGAAGGTAGTGGGGACCGTGTAGATAAACATACCCATATATTAGCTTACGTTAATAAACAGACAGAAGACGTTGATGCTGACAAACAGGCCACAGCTTTATCAATAAATATCAATTACATTACTTATTAACCATACATTAACATATTGGAACCATAAACATTCCCACTTTCACACCCTTGTCAACCATTCCTGCTGATTCTGGGCACCCCCCCTCCTCCTATTCACCAAACTGGCCTCTGCTACGTGTTCTTGGAGGTGCCTGCTTGCCAGTCTCCTGTGTTTGTGTCCTTTATCCATTCTGTTTGGGAACCGAACAGGCGCACGAACCAGAGACCAGCCAGGAGCTTGTTAAGCCTAATTGTGTCATGACATCAATCATGACATGTGGAAGGCCAGGTGTGGTTATCTTCCTGGCATCTTTGAACTCTGGACTCTTGCTGCTTTGGTCCTGCTCTCTTTCCTCTGAGCCACCCATCTATTCTTGTTTTTGCCTAATGTGCATCCTTGCCTTGTTTCCAGCACTGGGCACTGAACTTTACCCGTGCCTTTTCATGTCTATTTGGCACACCTAAAGGAGATCGTTATTAGCTGGATATATAAGAACTGACTCGCCCTGGGAGCTTGGTCAGTTCATTGACTTTGGTTCTGCTGTTTGGTTCCTGATAGTCATATCTTGATCCAGTGTTTTTTCTGACTGATTCCTGCTTCCAACCTAGGCTCATTTCCTCAATTGCTCTGACCTTTGGCTTCCCCTGAATTTGGCTTTCCACAACTACACTTCTGGTAATCCTTGCCTGTACTGCAACTTGGAGCACTATTCCTGCACAGCCCCTGTTCACAGGTTCACAGCCCATGTGGCTTCTTGCCTGGTCACCTTGGTCTGTGATTATTTGCAAGGGTGAGATACTGACAAATTGACAGTTTGTAACACTTTCCACCGCAGTGTTCTAAGTGTTCGTCTGGGTGACCGCTGTTTGCATGAATGACCAAAAGGTGGCAGCCATCTTGTTTAAGTGAACGCAGGCAGCGGTGTTTGGGCATGAATCTCATGGAACTGAAATCAGACACAGAAACTCCCGAACACTGATGGACTTCCAACATTGCCTGTGTTCGGTTCCACACAACTTTAAAGGCACTGTTTGGTGGAAACGTTCCCACGAACAAGGTGAACAAGCTCCAGGGTAAGACTATTGACTCTGTTTGGTAGTGTGTTAGTTTTTAAACTAACAAACTTGACCGACCGTTAGCACTGAATTCATGGAACGGTTCTGGACATAGGACCATGTGCACTGGCGGTCAAGATTATGACTTCCATGGAAATCCCGAACCCTGAACCGTTCTGGGTGAGTTTTGGATATGTTGGTCCCCAGATTGGGGCTATCAGAGGATGTGACTTTTGTTGGGTTTCCATGTGTTTTGGGGGTACTTTCAGGATTTTGTTAAAATGTATGTTTTTTTTGTGTCTGGAGATAATTGCGTTTAGTACAGTTCCTGAATCAATTATCCCTCAGGCACAGGGGAGAGATTACCCTGTTTTGTGTGGGAGTGTCCTGGACCTGAGAGACAATGTAATTACAGTGTGTACTTTGTCATAGTCCCTTCTCAGGTCCAGTGGGGAATGCTCCTGGAATATGTTATGGAAAACCCCTTGTATGGGGACTTGCATATAAGGCCAGTTGTGGCTACCAACATATAATTTCTTCTTCACCCTTAACATAGAGCCTTGTCTCATGTTTGGAGAGAACAGCTATATTCACTTTGGGGATTGCTATACACCTTGTTTCAAATTATTATGCAATTTCTATTTAAGTGTAACAAAGATTAAATATTTTGTTTTTCCGTTTAACTCATGGATGGCATTGTGTCTCAGGGCTCTTTTGATCACTGAAAACAATCTCGGACACCTGTGATAATTAAATTTCCAGGTGTGCCCAATTTAAGGAAAAACTACTAAAGGGGGGTGTTTCACATCATTAAGCAAAGCATCATTTTCATGCAATATGGGGAAGAATCTTTCTCCTGCCAAAAAGAGTGAAATACTTCAATGCCTTGGACGAGGTATGAAAACATTAGATATTTCACGAAAACTTAAGCGTGAGCAATGCACTATTAAGAGATTTGTGGCAGCAAACAGAAATTTGAAACTACTGGTGCCTCTGGAGTCCCACGGACATCAAGGTGTAGAGTCCTCCAGAGTCTTGCAACTGTGCATAAATCTTCTATTCAGCCACCACCAACAAATGCTCACAAGCAGAAACAGTTGCATTGGGCAGAAAAATACATGAAGACTAATTTTCACAGTCCTGTTCACTGATGAGTGCCGTGCAACCCTGGATGGTCCAGATGGATGGAGTAGTGGATGGTTGGTGGATGGCCAACCAGTTCCAACAAGGCTGCAACGTCAGCAAGGCGGTGGTGGCGTCATGTTTTGGGACGGTATCATGGGAAGAGAACTGGTCGGTCCCTTTAGGGTCCCCGAAGGTGTAAAGATGACCTCTGCAAAGTATGTGGAGTTTCTGACTGACCACTTTCTTCCCTGGTACAGAAGGAAAAACTAGGCTTTCTGTAATAAAATCATCTTCATGCATGACAATGCACCATCTCAAAGAATACCTCTGCATCAATGCCTGCTATGGGGATAAAAGGAGAGAAAGTAATGGTGTGGCCTCCATCCTCCCCTGACCTCAATCCTATTGAGAAGCTTTGGAGCATCCTCAAGCAAAAGATCTATGAGGGTGGGAGGCAGTTTACACCCAAACAGCAGCTCTGGGAGGCTATTCTGACATTTTGCAAACAAATTCAAGCATAAACTGTCCAAAACCTCACAAGTTCAATTGATGCAAGACTTGTGAAGCTGCTATCAAATAAGGGGTCCTATGTTAAAATGTAATGTGACCTGTTAAAATGTTTAAAATGTTAAAATGTTGTTATAAGTTTGGTTGAAATAGCTTTTGATTTCACTAAATATGCTGCAAACACAACACATGACAATTTTGAGTTCTTTACAACCTATAAAGTGTTTTGAAACTGTGCGTAATAATTTGGAACAGTGCATTGTTTTTTATGTTTAAAAAAAAATACTGTTATCATTAGGAGGTTTGTTCAATAAAATTTGAATTGTACTCTTAATAGTTGATAAAATGAGAATTATGCTGACTGTTATGTACATCAATTATTTGGGTAAATGAGAAAAATATCATTTGCATAATAATTTGGAACAGGGTGTAATAATTATTGTCCCTTGGGTTATAATCACTTGCTCTTTTAAGAGCATACCTGCTTTTACTCTCTGGACTAGGAGAGGTCTACCCACTGGAAACTGTATCCTGGTCTTGGGTCCAGGGTGGGTGGAGGACAGCGAGACCCCAACCAAGCTGTAATGCTGGCCAAGGGGACTGCAGTGGTTATGGTGTCTGGAGTATTTGGAAGTACTCGTGGATACTAAGAAGCATCGATTGGCGGAGGCACCCAGTTGGGGTGCCAGGCGGTCCAACACAGGCCTCACATCTGGCCTAACATTAACTCCATGCTCACCGCTGATCTGCCTCTGGCTCAGTGGGAATGTACATTACTTATAAACATAACCAAGGTTAGTGGAGGGATGAACGTGATCATCTTTCCACTGGACCTCTGGTCCAACCCTGATTGACAAGAGACCTTCCCCGCCACAACCCACACCTTAAAATCAGTGGGGCCACCCCACCAAACCTACCATGGCCTCCTCCAATGCATCTTGCAAAGCCAAATTAAAGAGTTCTGAACCAACACCCTCTCACTCTTGAAAAACATTGCCGTATTCTGCTAAAAAACGCGGTGCTGAATCGCAATGCCCCCACTCCCGTATAAAAGTTGAAATCCACTTATTGAGCTTGACCCTGCTGCGCTCTATTGCACGCTGATCCCTAGCACAATGCCAATAGTTATGGGACACCACTTCCAACCAGACTAGGCAGACGTCTGGGAAGAGCAAAAGCACCTGTGCTAGATCCTGCCTAATCATGTCCCTCAGTCCCAATACTGGGAAGAGTCCCAGGTCACTGCTCCCTAGGTGGATCACCAAGACGTCCGGCACTTTCCTTAAATGGGAAAGTTGAACCAGTTCAGGCAGCAGATGAACGTAACTCATGTCCTGAGCCCCGAACCATCGGACATCAGCCACCATAGGAAAGAGGCCTAGACGAAGCCCACCTGAGTAGACACCAGTACGTTGATGGGCCCAATACACGTCCAATCACCCAGATACATCACAAAGGACCTACAGATATAAAACCGCAGGAAACAAAATGCCCCACGCATCCAGTAACATCTTGAATACCTTGATGAACTGAAATCAGGACAACAGCCCCGCATCCTGGTGGACCAACAGCGACCCATATGCAAATTAAACCTGTTAACTGACTTTGGGGTCAAAGGCCAATTAAAGCCTATCAGATCTAGAGGAGGGGTATTTAGGCCCAGTTCTCATCCTGCTCAGTGCCCTGTCTTGGTTTTCCTTGTGGTTGTCCGAGAGCGCGTTCCTGTTTATAGTTTTCTACCTGGTTTTTGACTTTGGCTTTGTTTATTGACTTCTCTCTATTCTGGTATCCTGACTCCTGGCTTTCCTCATCGCTGCATCCCTTTCTGTGTTCCCTGACCTCGGCTAGTATTTTTGACTATTCTATGTATGTTAAATCCGGCCATTCTAAGGACCGGTAATACATTACTTATTTGTCATCCGTGCTATACAGTTCTACGTGCTGGATCAAACAGTAATCCTGACACCCATGCACCGACGGCAGAAATGCGCCAACATGGCAAAAACAAGCGATTGGGCAAACTACCGAAAGAGAGATCCATACACCTCTCAAGCATGTATCTGTTTAGGAGTGCCGCAACAAAAACGCACCGAACCCTTAGCGCAGTGTATATCACCCGACAGTGTCGCCCTAGTGACCTTCCTACTAGGACTAAAGAGTTCCCCCACACGCTGCGCTCCTATTGTGCCAGCAATGACAGGCCCACTCCACTCCAGTGGAGGCCCAGGGTAGACCCACTAGAAACCGGTGAGGGGGCAGACCCCAGCATACCCTACAACCCCCGCCTCCTTTCATGCACTGAGGTGCCCACACCCTCTGTGACAAACCCTGAGGCCTACTTACCCATCTGGGATGCCGACTGGCACTCCGCCTGACAGACGAGTGGGACACGTGCTGGGAATCCTGGAGCTGCGCAGGCTGCTGTTGACCTCCTAGCGGCCCATGGAGAAGAAACAGGAACGGTGGAGGCTGCACAAGGCTGCCTGAGGCAGGACTACGGCTCCTATCAGGCTGAGCCAACTGCCTGGAGGAATGCCCGCCGGCCGAACCTTGGTCACTGTAACCCTTCCTGTAGCCCTGGAGGGTGTGGACAGCCCCACCGCAGGGGTCCTGGATGTCGCTGACCGCCTAGGCCCCTCACTCACACATGTCCCTTTTCCTGGCTAGCCTGTGGCCTGGTCAGGGTCTGAATGGCACTGTATGATGCAACTCTGCAAACTGTGACAATAACACAGCTAGGCACAACAAAACATGCAACATTACTGTATCATATATCCATGCACATGTGTGTGACAAAGGTTGCCACATTGGAGAAACTGGCTTTAAGCTGCATCTCAGGATGTTCTTACAAAGACACTCAACCAAGAACCAAAAGAAAACCAAATATAAAAAAATTATATTAACCCCCAAAGATGACTTCACTGCTGGGGATTGACACTTCGTGATGGTGGTAGCTCTGCACAGTGTCAAGAAATGTTAAGCAGAGGAAAAATACTGAGACAAAGTAGCCCCTACTGCAATTCCAACACAGTCAATATGTCATAGAGAATATATCGTGGGGGTGGATTACAATGTTAACAAATTTTTTTTAAAGTAATCCTTTTGGTGGCATCTAGTGTCTAAATTCTAAATTACAAAATGACCAATGCATTTAACTCATTATTAGGAATATGTCTATATGGTTTATTCTCTATATATGGGATCATCCAAATATTTTGGAGGTAGTAGTGCCATACAGACATTTAAACCATCCATGTGTATAGTCTAGCCCTGCAGATTCGCTCAGTATTACCAAATTCCAAAATATGAGAATTGCAATTGCGGTTCGGCATTTTATCCTTTTTCAATTTAGTAAATATAAATTTTTAGGATTATTTTTTTCTTATGTACTATTAAGATCTGTTTGCTTTCGCACTCAGATTAAAGTTTAATAATTGTAAACAAATACCTCTGCCTCAGTTCTCTCTTTATTTGTTATATTTTTGTCTTGTTCTGTTTTATTCAGCTTCAGGTGGAAGATCTAACAGATTTGCACGAGGATGCGGAATAACGAGCCAATGTGATGTGTCTGGGACAGTTAGTTTGTTAGACAGAACTTATAGAACATCTTCTACTTGTTGCAAAGACAGTATGTGTACACCTCCATTTCCAGTCTGTGAGTAAAAATTTATTTCATTTTCAAATAAAGAAATCAATGCACACACATTCGATGCTTTCATTTTCCAGGATATTTTTATTATATTTACTTTATATTTATATAACAAAAAAAGCAGGGCCGATGTGAAGTTTTTTGTTTATTTTTGGGCTACACAGGTGAAGACTCATTTTGCCACCCCAACATGTATCTTTGCCTGTCTAGACCCATGTGTCTCTGTGCCCCTCTTTGATTGGGGCACTCCCAGCAACTAGAGCGCATGCACAAATTTCAGTTAGAGAGGAAGGGTTACTGCAGTCACTATCAGTCTCCTGGGGGCAAGCAACGCAGTAGCAAAATAAGACTCTCGAGTAAAAGGTAAGTAAACTTTATTTTTATGTTTTGCGGGGCGTCTGACATCTCGAGGAATAAAGGAATACCCCAAATGATAAGATTAAATATAACTTTTGTAAGCACACACATTCTTTAAAGGGATATTCTAAACATCATAACCCCTGTAACCCATTGTTGTGGTTATGACGTCAAGAGTACCCTAGCCTGGGTATACAGTAATGGGGCAAATCTTTTAGCAAAGTTTTGCCATCTTATCTGGTCCTGCAAGGCTCAGAGACTCCTTGCTGCTCTGCAGAAGCATGCAACTGATCCAGTTTACAGCAATTAGCTGAAGGCTCTCAGTCAATGAATGACACACTGTGCACAAAAATGTGCATGAATTGATATTAGTTAGCCCAGAATTCTTGTTTGCTGATGCCCCCATGATGCTACCAAGGTTTGAACTGCTCAATGTTTAGTAGATATGTGCCTACTTGCGGCACTTTTAGGTTTAAAGCCTCCCTTATCCTAATATGGGTGTCATACTGACCCCCAAATGCTTTATTTATTTAACTATTAAATGTAGCTATGCTATGTGTGCAGGCTTAGGGGACACATCATTTTCTACCTTAACTCGCACAGATTTAATTACTGATTACTTGCACTGTACAGAATGTCAGCAGTGGAGCAATACTGCTAAAAACAAGGCTAGTGGAACAATAGCTGAGCTCCATGTCCTTGCTATAAACGTGACCCCATTTGCACTGGTGATAGTTCCACCCTGAAACGTTTTGTAGTTGTGTAGCTGTCATGACTTGTATGAGGTTTATTGATCATTTTGTTTTATTTCATTTTAGTACCGCCATACAATAATTCATATTTGAACGGGAGGACTTGTCCATCATGTGTGTCCTATATGGAAACAGACTGCAATTCAGGTTTATACAAGAACTGTACTGGGTTAGAGACTTATTGTCTCTATGAATCTATGAAGACAACAGGTACATAATTTATTGACTATAAGCATAGGAGCTTATGAAGAATTGTGCACACTACCAACACTAGAATCAACACACAGATTAGAGTGGTGTCCAAATGTGAACTCACTGAGAAAATGCTGCCTCTCTTAAGATAACCCCCAACAGACCCTTCACAAAAAATGCACAAACCAGAAAACAGAGGGTTCAGGTTCCAGTGAAAATGAATCCATACCTGTGGTGCAAATAACCTCGCCACTGGGTTTTGGAGGGGCCTGTTTGCCAGCCTTTTGCCCCAGGATTATGGCCCATGTGTTAAAGCTTTGTTTTATGACTGTGAAAAGGCTTGTTCCTGCCTTTTTACAATGGGGTTCGGTGAATGTTGTTTACCGAAGAAATCGTGGAACAGCCGGACGACCCTGCGTGTAGAGTGTGCTGCTGGTTAACCGACCAAGAAGCTGTGGTTAGCCACAGCTTAATTGACGAATGGCTGGGTGGTCGGCGTTCGTATGAACGAACACGAGGTGGCAGCCATTTTGTTCAGCTGAACGCACTCATCGGTGGTTTGCCGTTGAGTGCCTGGAACTATAATCAGACACTCAAAGGCACGAACAGCGCTGGGACTTCCACCTTCCGTACGTTCAGCTAAATCCATACGAACAGAGCACTATTCAGAGAGAACAAACTCATGATCGAGACGCTTTAAATAAAGTTATGCACGAACAGATCTGTTCGTGCAATTTGTACCTTATTTGAAGGAGAAAAAATTTGGTTTTTCTGCTTGGGGATAATTGAGCTAATTACAGTATCTTACTCAATTATCTCCCTAGCAGAGGGGAGGGTTTGTGTACATTATCTGGGAGTGTCTAACTGTACAAGACTGTCCTGATTGGCTTTGTAACTTTGTGTCCTGTGCTCCACAAGGTCCACGTGGGTGGTAACCTTGTGGGGAAAACTATATAAAAGAAACAAAAAACCCTCAGTTTGCTGAGTTCCTGTTTTATCCTCAATATAGAGTCTTGTCTCATGTGTGGGGGGGAAAAGGCTGTATCTATACTGAGGATTGTTATACGCTGTATACTCTCCTGGCTATAATTACTAAGCTCTTTTAAGAGCTTGTTCCGGCTACGCTCTCTGGAGGAGGAGAGATCTACCCACTGGGAGCTGGATCCTGGGTCCAGGATGGGTGGAGGACGGCGATGTAATGGATCACCTGGCACCCCAACTGGGTACCTCCATTGAAGGATGCTCCTAGCACTTCCTGAGGGCCCCAAGCACTCCAGCCGACACCATAACCACCATGGACTCCTTCAGAGAGCAGGACCGGAACAAGCTCCTACAAGAGCTTAGCAGTGAATAAAGCAAGGGAGTATGCAGAGCATAGCAATCCCTTGTAGCAGATTTCCCCCAATAAGAGACAGCACTCCAAATTGAGGGTGAAGAAGAACTGTCTAAAACTTTTTCCTTGGGACTAGCCCATATGGTCATTACATTAACATTGCTGTGAAAACTCAATAAAATTACAAACAGTCAAATCATAGCAGGCAACATACAGTGATTATTATAGCACAATCGCATAGTTTAAGGAGGTGGGGGAGACAATAATTAACAGAAAATATCTCACGTGCCTGCAGAATTAGCAATATGCAAATCTACCTGAATATGCAAATTAACCAGTCTTGCTATTTAGGTAGTGCATATTGCTGTTGCTACCAACAGAGGGCACTAGACAAGCTCCATAGCCAAATCCACCTAGTTGGTAGCAAACCTCAGCAGTACAGGAGAGCAGGCAATACATCCCAGAGGCCATAGTCACATGGCAGGAGGCTGGCAATCAGTCTTCTTCAATGCCGAGTGGCGAGGCTGGTTCTGCCACAATAATCACATGGCAGGAGGCTGGCAATCAGTCTTCTCCAATGCCCAGTGGCGAGAATGGTTCCGCCATAGGCGAGACCCCAACCAAGCTGTGGCGGTTGATGGGCTCTGCAGTGCTTATGGTGTCTGGTGCGGTGCTGATGGTCCTTGGTAAGCACTAGGAGCATCGATTGACGGAGGGTCCGTCACTATACCGATTAAATAGAGAATAAGGACAACAAATATATAAAGGAAAAAGCAAATAATTGTATAATGTTTATTACAAACTACAAATTAGAACATAAAAAGGTAACACTCACAAAAATAAATGCACAATCAGTGAGGATATGTGCAAAACAAGCATTTCAGCCAGAATTGGCTTGAAACGTTCAACCTCACAGTCCTCTTTAGGTATCCTGATCTGCAGTGTCTAGGGTCACGCTATCCAGGACACTGCTGAACTGGCAATAATCTGTCTGGCCACAATTCTCAGGACTTCCTCAGGAGTGCTATTAAATATAAATAAAAAATTGTAAACTAATTGATTATTTAGCAGCTACCATACTGTGGTGTGTAATTCCCCCCAAAACAAATAGAAAACAGACTACTGTATAAAATATACTGTGGAGCACTATATTAATTAAGTGCAATAGATAATATATTCAGTAATAGTGGTGATATTACTTGTAGAAAAAAAATTACAAAAATTACAAAATGCTCAATGTCACATGCAGTCATCACAACACCCACAAATCTGAACAGCCATAGATTTTTAAATCGGACTCATACTTCATACTTCATACTTCATTAATACTGTGACGGACCGCCTGGCACCCCAACTGGGTGACTCCACTAATCGATGCTTCCTAGTAAGCCTTGAGTACCATAAGCACCGCACTAAACACCATCAGTGCCATAGCCCCTTAGCCACCGCAGCTTGGCTGGGGTCTCGCCATCCCTTCTCACCCTGGACCAAAGTGCTGGATCTAGCTCCCAGTGAGAAGACCTCTCCTAATCTAGAGAGTATAGCAGGATAGCGCTTACAAGAGTTTGTGATATTATAGCCAGTATAGCAATCCAAAGCAGGTATAGCTGTTTACCTACAAGTACGAGACTGAAGTAAACTGAGTTTAATGGGAGCCACAAATGGCCTTATATGCAAGTCCCCATGCAAGAGGTTTTCCATTACATAATTCAGGTGCATTCGCCACTGGACCAGAGAGGGGACTATGACAAAGTATACACTGTAATGACATTGGCTCTCGGGTCCAGGACACTCCCACACAACAGGGTAATCCCTCCCCTGTGCCTGAGAGATAGTTACTTACACAAACATATAATTTAATTATCTCTCACTACAAGAAACATGCAATACAACAACACCCCAAAAGTACCCCTGGAACACATGGAAACCCCACAAAGATCATATCCACTGATAGCCCCAATCTGATGACCAACATATCCAAAAATGACCCAGATCGGTTTAGGGGCTCGGGTTTTCCATGGAAGTCATAATCTTGACCGACCGTGCACATGGTCCTATGCCCAAAACAGTTTCAGGAAATCAGGGCTAACGGTCGGTCTCTCTTTCTGGAGTACAAAAGTACATGAATCACATAAGGTTTTTAAAGGGCCCATCGTCTTTTGGCAGGAGGCTGGCAAGCAGGCCCCTCCAAGAACACATGGTAGAGGCATTTCTGACACAAATACTATTTAGCCTTAAGATGAGTTATCAAAATATACATGTTCTAAGTTCCTTTCAGTTTCATGTACCAAAATGTACTACTTTAACTCATGTACCAAAAGTTTCTACTTATGTCTGAGTATAAACGTGGAACAAATACACTTATTTTTCACCAAATGTGTTCATGTCTCACCTCTGCCCCATCACAATAAATTTAATATTGACTTTTCATCATGCTTTGTCTGTACCCCACAAGACTTCTATCAACCATTGTCAATGGAATAACTAATTATTATAATTATTTTTACTTCTCTCTACCTTGTTTTTAGGTGGACAGAATACTATTAAAACAGCACTACGAGGTTGTGCCACAAAAAGCATGTGCGATCTCGGAGACCGAACTACAAAATATAATGGAATAACAACAACCATAAAAGTTTCCTGCCGCAGTGGATCAGCTGAAACACTCTATTCATCCTTATTTCTCTTGGGGATTGTTATCATTCGTTTGATATGAATTAATCTGTCTCAATAGACCTGCTTTAAAGAAATAATAGAAAATAAAGATGAAGCGAAAGTTAAAAATCACATTTTATTGTTTATGTAAAATCAGGTATCATATAGTGCTGTGTAATAGCACTTTATGAAACAATCCTTACCTCGTTTAGTTTATTACCCATTATGATTCCTAATTCTTGTCAGACACTCATTTCTAGAATACATTTTACCATCTGCTGCTTTCTCTCCAAAATTAAAATCTACCTCAGCTAATAGCTAGAAACTCTCCAAATACGCTATATGCATATCAAACTCTGAAGGACGTCTCCAACCATCTCGACAATCAATCAAATAAAAAGTCCAAGACATGCAATAATACAATAAATACATATTTATATAAATAATGCACATGCATAATTCAAACTTCACAGAACATAAAGTAATTGTGGCGGGACCGCCCCCTATCCATGAATTGTGTTATCCTTTGTGTGTGTCCCCCCTAGTATTTTGTGCAATGTGTCCACTCCCCATTCAGGAGGCCTTCCCCGAAGAGAACTAACTCGCCTCCCGAACAGGCACCACCCCTATACCTCATTTATAATATTGGTTTAGAAAATTTGGACCTCATAACAAGGTGTCAAAAACACAAAGCGTAGACGAACGCCATCCAGGGGGAGCATTCACGGATTGCTTCCCAACTTATTTGGTTCCCGAACGAGGACCTTTGCCCCTTGGAGTGTTCGCACCAATCAATTAGAACATTCACAACTCACAAAATAAGTGTGAAGCCTCAAGGGAAGTAATGAGTGCTTCCGTGGGTGGCCACCGTTCTTATAGACGGACACCAACCAGGGGAGCATTTGTACCCCGAAAGGAGATGCTTTCCTTGTCTGGTTTCACACAGGGACCCCGCGAACGGAGGCTGTTTGAGGCAGGTACAGTTATGGGGTCTCTGGGAAGAAGATCACTCCAGTTACCGGAAATGGGAGACCCTGTGTTTAGGGGGTGGGAACAAGGGACAAAAGGACCAGGGTTCCTGTCCCACACTGGAAGCCCTGGGAGGGGGAGGACCCTGAGAGGGGACAAAGTCCTTGCATGGGGAAAAGTATAAATCTGAGTGTGGCCAATAAAGTTGTTGTTGCACCCCTGGAACTGCGTGTCATCCAGTTACTGGGGGAAGAATGGTTCTCCACGTATTTTTACCGGTTCCATTTCAGGTGAATGCAGTAGCTTGGCAAAGGTAACTGAACGGGTCACCCAGGGCCCACTACAACTAGTGGCAAGTGGCAGGATCCTACGTCCCAGCCAAAGAGACCCATGGACTATCAGTCTCTGAAAATGCAAACACTACATGATTCGCATAAAGCCATCAGGATAACAGCTGGCAGTGGCAGGAAGGTGAATCTGACAACTGCCCTCATGGAAAACGACCGTACACGCGGTGGGGCAGCTGCACCCCACGCAAGAAGAAGATGAAATGCGCAAAGAGGTGGCCTAGCCCTAGTTTTACAAAGAAACCCCCTTAGAGGAAACCATGAATATGATTTTCTCTGAGGTACAAACGTATGTTCTCGCCAAGAGCAAAGGGGCGACCCCGACACACCTTGACGAACAGAGGGCAGAGCCCGGGGTCGACTGGGAGCCCCACCACCCCTGCTCGGACACACAAACTCCCATACAATGCCTTCAAGGAGTTTAAGGAAGCAGAGGAAGGCATTGACAACTTCCTGCAGGATTTCGAGCGACAGTGCCTCATGCAAGTAGTCAACCCCACCGACTGGATCACCATCTTGGCCAGTAGTTAACAGGAAGGTGGAGGAAGCCTACTTGGCTCTACCCGAAGGCCAGCTTAGGGTGTACCCCTTTTTCAAGAAAGTCCTACAGACTAGGTATGCCATCACCCCAGAGGCCCAGACCTACCCACCACCCAGCTTCGGAACCCCACCTAAGGGGAACAACACAGCCAGGCTTCGCATGCCATCACTGCCGAGAACCTGGCCACTTCAAAGGAGAATGCCCCCAACACCAGTGGGTTCTCCTTGTAGTGGCTCCACCTCTGAGAGTGGCAGCCCACTGCTACCAGACTACCCCCACAGACTACCTACTTCCCAGAACGACTGCTCCATCCTGCCTGAAGTCAATCCCCTCCAAGCTGCCACAGACAACCGAGCCCTCCACAGGGAACCTGTCTGGCTGAATGGGCGCACGGTCCAGGGGTTACGAGAAACCAGGGCCACCCTGATCCTAGTGCAAAGTAGGCTTGTCACTGAGGCAGAGAAGAACGGAGGAACAGTTGTGGTCCAAGTGGCTGGGAGCAACATCTATCACCTACCCACAGTCCACGTCGATTGGGGTACCGAAGACCGATAAGTGGAAGTAGGGCTCATGAATGCGCTTCCTGGAGAAGTGCAGCTCAGCAATGATCTGGGCCATCTCACTTCCACCTATATTCCCCTATGGAAACTCGCAGAGAGCTACCCAGTGATGACCTGGCAGCAAGCCCTCACCACCCAGGCTGGCTCACATTCTGAGGCTCAGGTAGACACACATACTCAACCCCGTCCCCAAGTTTCCTGTAAGTAAGCCCCCTAACGCCGGGCCAGGTAACTGCCCATGAACCCAAGCCACCTGTACTAGTCTCCTGTCCACCGTGCCCTGGGAAGCTACCCCAGGGATACCATTGATGAGTTTAGGTGGGACGTGGTATTGGACCCGACCTTCCAGACCTATAGGGACCGGGCAGCTACTGGAGAGGTGGGGAAGGAGGATGAATGGTTTACCTGGGAGCGGAGACTGTTATACCACATAGCGGAGAAGAAGAAGTCAGGTACATTCCCCACTACCATCAAGCAGTTGGTGACACCCAAAAAAATGACTACCCATCTGTAGAGATTATGAGGCATTAAACCAATTCTGAGCTCCCTATACCACCCCCAGACCAATGGCCTGTGCAAGCACTTCAATAGCATGCTGAAGCAAATGCTTCATATCTTTCCGGCGAGCTGCAAGGATTGGGAATGGTTCCTGTCTCCTGTTTGCATACTGAGAGGTGCCCCAGGAATCTACAGTATTCTACCCGTTCGAATTAATGTTCGGATGGAGGTTGAGGGGGGGGACTAGACCTTGTCCGGGGACACTGGGAGGGAGCCGGGGAATAGGAAGAGATCCCCTAGTGTGTTCATCTTCCATTCAGCAGAAATCTGTCCAGAATTAGCTCCATGGGTTTAGCTATCTGGGACGGTCCAGTTCGTGAGTTATCAATATACCGAATGGCACGGTGTTCGTATAAACTGGAATGAAGTGGTGGATGGTTGGCGGTCTCAGCGGTGTTCATGGGAAACAGTGTCTGAAATTAGTTCTGTGCGGTTGACGACGAAACACAGCTGGGTGTTCAACTGTCCAAGATGGCCACCGCCACGTGTGCGTTCATACAAAAGACGACTGTAACGGCACCCCCAGGCATAAAAAGGGGTTAAAAGCCATTTAGTAGATCATCCCTTACATAGACACAGGCACAGCTACTGTAGACACCAATACACCGAACTGGAGAACCATATGAATGCCGTAAACAGACGAATAGGAAAAACCATACGAATAGGTTTGCACTCCAAGCAGTCGAACTGGAACAGCATACAATAAATCCCCCCAAGAACGAGACAAGGCTCCATTTTGAGGGTCAAGCAGGAACAGACAGAGCTGTGGGTTTATTGTTCTTATATACACATTCTTACACATTAGTACCACGCACAGGGTTTTGGAAAACAACCAATAAACACGCACAATACACTCAGACACTCCCACACAAAATCCTCCCCTCTGCCTGTGATACAATTACCTTACACAATGGGTAATGTAATTATCACAAGCAGAGAAATACATTTTTTCCACATTATTCATAACTTGAAAAGTATACATCGCATTCACTTACATTTTCAGAATTAGCATACTCCAAATACAAACATATGTCAAAATCATCCAAATTGGTCCATGGGTTCAAAAGATAGATCAAAGTTCTTTGTGACCAAATGAAGCATGGCTTTTCCACCCAAAACCAGTTCCACTGAGTCTTCTATCCTGGAGAAAATTGAGAAGTAATCCAATTATCTCCAAGGACAGAGGCAAAACTCCATTAGCCACATGGTAGCAAAATACAGTAAAATACAATAAAATAAACAAGGTTACATTTATTACATAAAATACAGACATGCAACATATCCCCAGATAGCTTAGGTCTGAGTGCACATTATTACTGAATGGCGCTCAGACCACACACATACAGGTCAATTGCCATGGAGCCAAAGTCTTTTATTACACGAATAGGCTCCATGGCTTGGCTATCTGGGTTAAATGAGTTCATTCAGTAAATCCGAGAATCTACCGAATGCCAGGGCAGAAATACTGCATAGGAAAATAAAATATTTAAATGCCGGTCCATAATCAAAAGGAGGGCAGGCAGGCAACCAGGCTCCTCCAATGCACAGTGGCGAGATTGGTCTCGTCACAACGACCACCCAGCTGACGGTACGGGAGTTGGAAGTGGCTGCGGTTAACCACAGCGATAACAAGGTCAAAAAGTTTCACAAGCTGGGTGGCCTGCAATTAGTTTGTCTTTTAGGGAATGCAATCAGGGAACAATCAGGGACTGGTGAACAAACAGACGAAACAGTCTCAAGTAATAATCCAGAGGCAGGGAGGTCTGTCACATGGCTCCCTCCTTGTGAGACACTCCGGCAGACCCGGTTTGATCCTTCTCGGGTCAACTTGGGGATATACAGAACTGGGTAGCTGGGGAGACGTCTGTTTGCTTGGACAAACAACCCATCGGTATTGCCATTCTGCTTACTGTGTCGGTAGCTGATAGTGAAGTTACAAGGCTGCAGGGCTAGGCTCCACCGTAACAACCTGCCATTGTCTCCTGTGACCCGGTTAAGCCAGACCAATGGGTTGTGGTCGGTGACCAGTGAAAATTCTTGTCCATAAAGATATGGGGTAAGTTTCCTAAGCACCCAAACCAGGGCC